AACAGGCTCTAGCCAGGAAAGAACAGGTTCATTCTAGGGAAGAACAGATTATAGCTATGAGTAATAGTGTTCTGAGAGAAGTTGAAGAACAATTGAAGAACTTGGAATAAGTAAAATGAAATCTGCTGAAAAACGCAGAGCTCAAAATGAGGTTCATTCTACAGTTCCGTGTCGTTCTTTGAATTCAGGGAATTAATATAATCTAGTTGGAAATAAATATTGCTACTTTTTTTTCGTATTATTAGGGAATTAAAGGTTTACTCTTAAGTCATGAATCATCAAAGGAAAGATGAATTCAGAACTATTTTACTCGCAAATTTGATGTAAGTGTGAAGGGGTTTGATATTAGCTTCAAACTTGTATAGGCATTTATCACTAGTTTCTGGCTCTTAGCTATATATATGCCTAACCAACCTCTTTCCGATTCTCAATAAGAAGAAAGTCGGGGGTTCACGTTCGTGCACAACAATTCCAACGCAGTAAAATAAACTGATATCAGCACTCACGTATCTATCACTCGTCATCTGCAACCTCAATGTGCGCTTTGGTGTATTTTCTGACTATTAATTGAATGTCAACTTTTTTTAAGTTATTTTTTTAACCTGAAAAATATTATCTTTAATTGTATAGATTTGGCAAAAAAAACTAAAAAAAGATTAAAAAAAAGTATGAAATATTCAAAGTTTACCAATCTTGTCCTTGGCTGAACTCAACTGTATCAGTTGATCTACTCGAGCTTTACGGACATAGGTTGGAGGATACAGGTTAGTGAAGGTCTTATGGACGAAATTTCAACGAAGAAGAATATAGGTCAACGGTGTTCTCTTCGCTGACTGATATTCTTCGAGTAGATCCAGCGAACTTTGGACTCTGACTCCTCTTTCTATACAGAGTAGTTTAACGGAGTAGATGGGTGATGTTTAGGCTTACAATGTGGGTTCTCTCTATCATGTAGATATAATTTATTCGATAAGATGAGAATAGCGCAGGTGAAAACCTCTTCTAGATTAAAGTGGTCCGATGGAGGAGGTGTGTGATATATACGACGGTCCTTTTCTCTTCATACTACCATCTTGAACTACAAAAAAGTTCAGTTTGAATTTGAAACTCAAAAAGGTTGCAAAATAGCTTAGTTCGCGACTTATATCTTTTTACTTTTTGTAACTTATCAAAAATTGATTAAATTCTTGGTCAGAAGCTTTGATTTGAAGTTCCTGAACAATAGTAAGTTAATAAGGAGATATTAAGTACTTAATAATTGATAGCCAGTTCTGTGAGGTTTCACATCACGCCAAATTAAAAAAAAAAAAAAATATAAAATTTGAATCCCTTGCGATATATCAAATTCATCAATTCAACCATGGAAAACAGCCAAAGAAACAACCAAAGACCTCTGGTCATTGAAGAAACGGGTCCTAATATGGATGGACCTGATGAAAACCAAATCAGTCATGAATTTAGACCCCAAATAGACAGATTTCCTCGTAGTGTTAGTGAGGGTCCCCAAGTTCCAATTCCTAAAATTAATCAAATTCCTATCGAAAATGAAAGTGGAAACAATGATACTCTAGTCATCAGGTCAAACTATGTGGTCCGTAGCGTTAGTGAGGGCCCACAGGTTCCAATTCTTAGAATTTTTCAAGTTGCTGTTGATGCACGGGCCCATGGTGCTCCAGTCCCTCGAATTTCTGAAATTATTGATCTTTTAGATGATGATGATCTGGTCCCTGATTAGGATGTCCCTGATGAGGCTGGTGGAGACCAACCATATCGTTTTCAAAGAAGATCCAATTCTCGAAGTCGTACAGATCACATATTCAAAATTGGGAATAAAGTATCTGAAGACTTACCTGAAAGTGATAGAAAGCTACGCCCCAGGAATCATGTCGATTATACAGAAGGCCAATTACCACCAGGCTTGACCAATGATGACCTCAATCAAAGAACCACTACGCCTCCTCCTAAACGTGGAAGGATGGAAAATATGGAACCAAACACCATTATAATTATTCCTTCCAGTGACGATGAACAACAGATTCATAATGATGACCCTCAAGAGGAAGCTCTTCGTGTATTTTTAGGTATGGTATTAATTACGGCAATAGTAATATGTGCCCATTGGTGTAAACTCGCTGTACAATCAAATTCAGGTACCCAATTAATCCAAAGAAGTGGTTCAGAAGCTGACAACGTCACCAATGAATTGCCATCCAACAATTTAATCCCAGCTACTGGAAGACAACTGTCCCCCGAATTAAATGAAGAACCAAACATTGGTGCCAATGTTGGCTCTAGACCAAATTCTGGTGGGGAACTCCATGTGGTTTCTCAACCACAGAATTTCTCCTCTGACACAGATTTGATTACTGTTGCTGAAAACTTTGGTTTGTCTGACCTTGCAGCATCAAGACAGGGTGTAGATGGAGTCAATAATGAAATTTTGAATTCTGTGGACAATCGCGCAAGAAATTTTAGTGAGATTGAGGATTCGCAATTGGATCAAGCAAGAAGAACTCAAAAAAGGATTAGACTTCATCCACAAAATCATTCTTCCGTTCATGATTCGACAGTGAGAATGTTAGACCTCCAGTAATATCGAGTCAGCAATTGTATGACCATTTGGACCAAATTAATCAACATCGTACACATCGCTTTAATGTCGAGAGTTCTGATTCGAATAATCCAGTTACAGGGGCGAATGACACAGAACGTTCACCATCAGTAGAAACTCTTGCACACATTCCAACTCCTTCAGAAGCAAGAAATGTTGATAGAATATCGGCTATAGATGACATGCCAGCTATTGTAGAGGAAAGAGAAACTTCTATCGATGAATTAGAAGATCCAGGAGCAAGTGATGTTGATGGCATGCCAGATATTGATGACACACCAGCTGTTGATGATACGCCAGCTATTGACGAGACAAGAGAACCTCTCATTCGTGAATTAGAAGATTTAGAACCAGGAAATGTTGATAACACGCCAGTTATCGACGACACTCCAGTTATCGACGACACTCCAGTTATCGACGACATGCCAGTTATCGACGACACGCCAGTTATCGACGACACGCCAGTTAACGACGACACTCCAGTTATCGACGACACGCCAGTTAACGACGACACTCCAGTTATCGACGACACTCCAGTTATCGACGACACGCCAGTTATCGACGACACGCCAGCTATGGAAGGCACTCCAGCTGTTGAGGAGGAAAGAGAAACTATTATTCGTGAACCTACCCCCTCACCTCCAGAATCATCCCCTTTCTATACTGATCCAATTTTTGATGCGCGTGGTAATATGACTCCAGCACATCCATTGTATCATGAGCAAGCACATCCATCTGTATTGGAAGAAAGCACACCAGCTTTTGAAGAGGAAAGAGAAACTATTATTCGTGAACCTACCCCCTCACCTCCAGAATCATCCCCCTTCTATACTGATCCAATTTTTGATGCGCGTGGTAACATGACTCCAGCACATCCATTGTATCATGAGCAAGCACATCCATCTGTATTGGAAAATCCTTCCCAACAGCAAGCTGGTCCATCCTCAAACGTTGGTCGAATCCCAAGTCAATCAGCATTGAGTGGGCAGGGATATCGAAACTCAAGCATAGATTGGTCTTCCAAAAAGCCCACGACTAAATCAACTCCCTACGCTCATGGAAGTGGTGCGCCATCAAATCAACCAGTGAATAATTCATCTTCTAATCTCCGCTATAGAGGAAATGTGGCATCAGAATTAAGGAGGAAAGCTAATCAAGAAAAAATAAAAAGGTTGAATGAAAGTAGACGAAATAAATGATTCGGCTATTGTGATTGTAAAAATGGAGATTTCTTGATGACGATCTGTCAAATTGGAGCTCCAGCCACACTATATTATTTGTTAATCGGAGTCGGTTATTCATTTTGGTCCGTGAATAATTTTCTCTGTATTGATACAATATGTGTGTTTGTTAGTTTGTAGTTAATATAAAATTGAAAAGCAAAGAATTCCTTCGTACTCGATTAAAGCAAATTCAGTTCCCTTAATTGATGTTCTAGTATGGAGAACTTGACGTGTGAAGTTCTTTTCCTTTAATCAGCATTGTGTACGAGATCCAAAAAATCACCACTCTTTAACTATGGGATTCGAGACTGCTTACGTAAGTTTTCTGAGACGGCTGCAAAAGGGAGAAAGTCGATTACTAGTTGGTGAAAACATGTCGAAAATACCAAAAAATAAAAAGCCTTCATAATCTCGGAATAGTATGGTGTTGTAGCAATTTTAAGGAAGGAGTTTTTTTGTTAAAATGTTAGAGTTTATTTTTTTTGTTTGGTTGTAGTGGATTGGTAAAATAGTGTTCAACACATTATCTCATTGCCGAAAGTTTGTTTTGAGAAAGTACTGTTATTTTACTCCACTCACAACCATTGATGGCTGTTGTGATCACTTTGGGGCCAGTCTGTAAGGTATGTACAGATGAATTTGTTTTAATAGAACTTAGCCATACTAACCAACTACTTGATGCATTATTTATTGGATAATATCAACGAACATTTTGTTGGGATTCGCCATACAAACCGTTAGCCCAAGTTAATCGCTTTACTTGGGGAGTCCACACGGACGGCTTACAATATGAATCGAGGCTTCTTAATTGGTCTTTGAATCTGGGTTTGGTTTATACTTTCCTCCATACCTCCATCACCCATCACCCTAACATTTCTATCCCTGCTCTATCTCTCGGTAAATCTCTGTCTCTATCTCTACCTCTGATTTTCAAACAATACAAGAAAACGGATATCATTTATGGGATCCCTCTCCCGCCGCCCCCCTGTTCATATATAATTATCTTTGATTCTTAGAGTATCGGTTGCGGCCATATCTAGCAGAAAGCACCGTTTCCCGTCCGATCAACTGTAGTTAAGCTGCTAAGAGCGAGACCGAGTAGTGTAGTGGGAGACCATACGCGAAACTCTCGTGCTGCAATCTTTTTGCCGCCTTGCGTATAGATCCTGAGATTTTTTTTACAACCAGTGAATCTTAGACACTCAAGAACTTTGACAAAGTAGGGAATAGCCGTCTGTTCACCCGCCAGTCGAGCGAGTTGTTGGTGCTCGGTATTGTTTAGTAAAAAATTACTCATTTAATTTTTCTTTATTTTTTGTGAAAATCGTAGAATACTTATGATATAGTTGATGTGATTTTCCAAGAATAAAGTGGAAACTCATCTTGCTTGATGAATTATGGAAGGGTTGAAATGAATTTTCACGTTGATTTGATGGGTGAAATGGTATGAATCTTCATTATGCACGATTACATAATGAATTACATAATCTTATTTGGAAATTGGTACCGTACAAAAACTAGCGCTGTTCGTTTGAAATAGAGGACATTCATCAACAAGGGCACAGAGAGGTAATTACACTGAGTAAGCAGATGAACTGAAATCCGATTACTGGTCGAAAGCTTACTTACAGTCAAATATTGCAAGTGGTGGGAGGTAATATTTGAAGATTCCTGGATGAGAAGAATTTAGCAGTTTTACAAAGTGCGGAGCCTATAAAATTGACCTATAAAGCTAGTAGATCAATGTAAAAACCCATCTATCTAACCGGTAAAATCAACCAACCTAACTAGTAAAATCAACCAACCTAACTAGTAAAATCAACCAACCTAACTAGTAAAATCAGCCCACCTAACTAGTAAAATTAGCCCACCTAACTAGTAAAATTAGCCCACCTAACCAGTAAATTTATCAACTTAACCAGTAAATTTCAATAACCCAACCAGTAAACATCACCATGTCAACCAGTAAACTTAACCTGTAAAAAGACCGCTAATCTAACGTTATCTGTGGCTGCGAATATTTCACAAATATGTTTTTTGTTTTATGGTTATTAACCTTAGTAAAGTCGATTTATGTGCCTGAAAATGGAGATGATTGGACTCTTTTGAAGCCAGAAACTGTTGGTGATGTTCAAACTTTACCTTTTAGATTTGGTTTGGTGGTTTCGATGAAAGATTCAATTGAAAAACTTCAAGTTGAAGAAAATGAACCTTTTGAGTCAACCTCAGTTAAGACAGTAGCTTGTGGCGATGAGTCTACATTACTGATGTCTTTAAATGGTGGAATATTAAGGGATTCTAACAATAGGATTGGAACTATTGTTTCCAATAGACAATTTCAGTTTGATGGTCCGACACCTCAATATGGTGCTATTTATGCTAATGGATGGTCTGTTGACCACGATGGAGATTTGAATCTCGGGAATTCTTCAACATTCTTCCAATGTTCCTCTGGAGATTTCTATAATCTTTATGATTCAAAGATCGATATCAATTGTAATGAAGTGAATTTGAAAGTCGTAGGATTAATCGATTGTTAATATACGAAATGGTAGTCCCACTATGAGTTACCTCTTTTGGTGTTTTCGGTAACGGCACAGTGAAAAACTTCGGAAAATAGTTATTCCCCTCACTTTTTAGAGTTTGGGATCTTTCAGTACATACAATGACAACGGTCAAAACTAACCCGATGATCTTTAGCCAATCGGTCAACTATGATAAAATAAGTAAATAACAAGAAAATCAATCAAATGCAAGAAAATCGGTAAAGTATAAGAATGTACTACCAGCAATAACCTTGGGGAATTAGAAAAAAAATTGTTGGTTGGGTCGTGTACCAGAAAAAGGCATTGTCAGATGTTCCAAGCTCATAAGTTGATGGTAATCTCTGCGATGGAATTTATTCCTGGAGTTGGAAATAAGGCAAATTTATGGTACCCATAAGAAAGGGATGAAGGTTCCCCATTCATATATATACACACTTGGTAGAAAAAACCTTATTGACGGATGATGAACCACCGTTGAATTACGCATCGGCCTTATAAGTAATGCCGAAATTTCAGGAAAAACATTAATGCGGAATTATTTCTTTTTGCACCAAAATGTCGCATTATTGTCATTCTCGTCTCCAGATTGGACCACAATGATCATACCACTGTGGAGGTTATTCCGGATGATTTTTATGGAGATACTATGGAGATCATGGAGATCATATTTAGTGAATATTTTTTAAGGTTACATCGAAGAGATTGTAAAGGACAACATAGTAGGGACATTGAAGGTTTTCAGTGGTATAATCAGGGGAAGGACTTCCATATGGTGGTTGGTCCCCCCATACTGAAGAGAAACAATACTACAATCTTACGACATCTTGACCGTTTTTAACTCTACTAATGCCAGATCTATTAGTGCTACAGTAACAGATAACGGAGAAACATACGGATTAATTGTAAGGTCATAAACTGTTATGACAGCATAGTTGAACTATTTTCTCCAAAAAAAAAAAAATAAAAAATCAGTCTATGGCGAGACACGGAAAAACTCGACGATGACCAAATAGAGTAATTGTAAAACCAGGTAAAAATCAAGGAAAAATTAACTTCCAACTACCAAACCAATACTAACCCTATTACTAACCGTTCCGTAGTATTATCTAACCAAATTCCTAAACTTTCAGCCTACCCCTTACAAAAGAATCCCGTTCCATCCCACCGCGACATTAATTCACACCACCTAAAGTACTCCATGTCGTGTGCCATGGGGTGAGAAATGTGAGATTTTCGGATTAACTCTGGGGCGCGACATGCAGGATGTGGGATGTTTACCCATAGAAAAAATTTTTTCTCCTTCACTATAAATTGTCGAGTTTTTCCCTATTTTTCCGTCATCAAGTTTTTACTATGTCACAAGATTCTCAAACACCTTTATCTGGTGCTCAAACACCTGTCGATAATACATCTATTGTCGACCATAAATATGAAAAAACTGATTCAAATTTGGATCATTTACCTGCCTTACCGGAAAAATCCTTTAAAGATTACCTTTCCATCTCCTTTTACTGTTTATTAGTCGCTTTTGGGGGATTTGTCTTTGGTTTCGATACCGGTACCATTTCAGGTTTCGTTAACATGGGTGATTTCTTAAGAAGATTCGGTCAAGTTAATGCTGCTGGTGATTACTACTTATCTAATGTTAGAACTGGGTTAATGGTTTCTATTTTCAACATTGGTTGTGCTGTTGGTGGTATTTTCATCTCCAAAGTTGCTGACTACGGTAGAAGAATCGCTTTAATGACCGCCATGGTTATTTATATCGTTGGTATTATTATTCAAATTGCTTCTCAAACTGCTTGGTACCAATATTTCATCGGTAGATTAATCACCGGTTTAGCTGTTGGTACTGTTGCCGTTGTTTCCCCAATGATGATTTCTGAAACTGCTCCAAAGAAAGTTAGAGGTACTTTAGTTGTTTGTTTCCAATTATTCATTACTTTAGGTATCTTCTTAGGTTACTGTACTACTTATGGTACTAAAACTTATACCGATTCCAGACAATGGAGAATTCCTTTAGGTTTATGTTTTGCTTGGGCCCTTTTCTTAATTGCTGGTATGGTTTTAATGCCAGAATCTCCGAGATTCTTAGTTGAAGTTGAAAAAATCGAAGAAGCTAAAAGATCCATCGCCAAATCTAACAAAGTTTCTCCAGAAGATCCAGCTGTTCTTGCTGAAATCGAATTAATCCAAGCTGGTATTAACAGAGAAAAACTTGCCGGTAATGCTTCATGGGGTGAATTATTCACTGGTAAACCAAAAATTTTCCAAAGATTATTATTGGGGGTTATGTTACAATCTTTACAACAATTAACCGGTAATAATTATTTCTTCTATTACGGAACAACTATTTTCCAAGCTGTCGGATTAAAAGATTCCTTCCAAACTTCCATTATTTTAGGTATTGTTAACTTTGCCAGTACTTTTGCTGGTATTTGGGCTATTGAAAGATTCGGTAGAAGATCTACTTTATTAGTTGGTTCAGTTGGTATGTTTATTTGTTTCATTATTTATGCTGTTTTAGGTTCAGTCAAATTATATGTTAATGGTTATGATGGTCCAACTGATAAACCAACTGGTAATGCTATGATCTTTGTTACTTGTCTTTTCATTTTCTTCTTTGCTTCAACTTGGGCTGGTGGTGTTTATACTATTGTTTCTGAAACTTATCCTTTAAGAATTAGAGCTAAAGGTATGTCAATTGCTACTGCTGCTAATTGGTTATGGGGGTTCTTGATTTCTTTCTTCACCCCTTTCATCACTGCTAAAATCCATTTCTACTATGGTTTTGTTTTCAGTGGTTGTATTTTATTCTCCATCTTCTACGTTTATTTCTTTGTTAGTGAAACTAAAGGTTTAAGTTTAGAAGAAGTTGATGAATTATATGCTTCTAATGTTGTTCCATGGAAATCTGCTGAATGGGTTCCATCTTCAAGAGAAGAACAAGCTAAAACTTCAGGTTTTGAAAGATCAGAATCTGCTTAATTTTATAGATTTGTAGACGATTTACGATACGTTTGATTATTTGTCTCTGTATTTGTTTTGTTTGTGGTTTTTGTGTTTGTGGATTTTCCTGTGTTTGTGGATCTTTCTGAGTTTGTGGATCTTTCTGTTTTTGTGGACTTCTCTTTTTGTGGACTTTCAAATATCCACAAAACATTTTTACCTCTTTATCACTCTTATCACTCTATCAAACATCTTCCCTCAAACCTTTACCACATGGTGACCCCAACCTTTTCCTCTACCACCAAATTGATTTTGTGGTTTTTAATGATCCACAAATACAACAAAACCACAAACAGGAAAAAATTCGCATTTAATGGACACCACTGATTTTTATACTCCAGTGAAGGAACTCCCCAATAAACCTATCGTTCCCCCTATATCATTCAAACCATCCATATCCACAAATGAATCTTCTTTACACAAACTAAACAATAATCCACAAACAGCCAAACCCATCGACCCAAGCTTATTCACAAACTCCGCCAACAGTACCATTTATTATCGACCTCCGTCTACATCCATTGATCCAAACTTTGGCTTAAAAGACCAAGTGGAATCGAAACCAATATTACGATTAAAACAGCCTAGAGCAGAAGATGTCGACCCAGTTAGTGGGAACTGGACCAATCCTGTGTTGGAGACAGCATTAAAACGTCAGATCAATAAAGAGGCCGTGGTTAAAGGCATAATGTCAGCGGTTTTGTTCCTTTTAGTGATAGAGCTAGGCAAGAGGGTGATGAAAATGGCAGTAAATTTCGATGCCACATCCCCTGCCAGTATAATTGAAGGGATATTGGTGGTGAAGATAGTTTATGGTGGCATTAAATTGGCACGGGGCCAAGACCAGTGCTTGGACTTACCGTTAAGTAACAAGCAGAGATCCATGCTTGGACTCAGGATGATAGAGGGTAATGATGTTAAGATAAGTCACGAAAAGTTTGCTAGGAATGTAAATATAGAGCGATGAGCGGATCGATCGTGCGAGCTAGGGCAAGCTAGGTATCGGTAGCTAGTACGAGACCGTGCGAGACCGTGCGAAATAATGTATATTAGTACGAATAATTTGCGACTCTGGTACGAAACACTGCGACTCTGGTGCAAAACACTGCGACACTAAACAATGCGCTCCCGCTAACTTGTGAAACTAACTCGCACTTATCATATGCCTGTGGGGATTCTTCCTTATGAGCCATCAAGATCAAGACTTTGAAGAAGCCTTTGAAGTCATTAAGGTCAATGATACCCACTTCAAAGGCAAATATCCCTTAAGATTGCCATTACCCGCAGCCCGAGGAGTTTATGGTGGAAATTTGATCGCTCAGACGTTAAAAGTTGCCATGGAGAGCTCTCCCCAACAATACGTCCCCCAATCATTCCATTCTTTTTTCGTCGCTCCGGGGAAAAAGAGTTCTCCTATGGACTATAAGGTCACTACCATTGGTAAGGTAGGAGATAAGATCATTAAGCAGTCAATTCAAGCTATTCAGAAAGACCAGATTAAGTTTACAGCATTGGTATCGTTAGTGAGAGTCGGTGCGGAAGATGGTACCAAGAGCGGTGCGAATGGTACCAACCTCCACTACCAACTTCCTCCACAAAGTCTTCACCACAAATACAACCCTGACGACATTCATTCTTTAGTTCATACCGATTACATAAGAAACGCTTATAGTGATGAGTTTGTGGATTATAAATTAGTACCACAAGAACAACATCAAAGTCCAGCCAATCGGTGGGTTAACGTGTGGAGTGGGATTGTTCAACCAGGAAACCATTTCCGTGATGCCATGACCAATTTTGTAGGACTTGCTAGTCTTAGTGATTCGGTGTTTCTCACCACTTTAGCACGGATCCTTCATGCTCCTTGGAACCCTACAGAGACCAGATCGTTCGAAGAGGTCGACTTAGACAAAGATGCTAGAATGTGGATGAACGTGTCATTGAATGCTCTCCATATCTTCCATTATAACGCCATGTCGTTGGACCACCACCTTTATTTCCACACCACCGATCCCCATGACTTTGACGTGGCTTCCCAATGGCTCACATTCAGTTACCAGGCTCGTAGAGTACTGAACAATAGAACTCTCGTTAGAGGTTACTTCTATAACCGTGAAGGTAAGCTCATTGCCACTGCCATTCAAGAGGGTCTCACCCTTGCGTTCAAAGGGTTCGAGACCATCCCTGAAGAGACGAGTAATTATCAAGACCTTAAAGTTAGATTGTGAGTTTTTGTATTTGTATTTGTGGTCAATCAATGTATTTGTGGACCACGACATTTTCCGTTTGTACTCGCGACATTATACATGTTTATTTTCACAAAGAATCTCTATTTGTGCACTTCGACATTCGCGACATTTTCTTTTTGTACCAAACTCTCTCTCAAGTTTTGTGGCGACATTTCGCAAATTTTTTCCAAACCAATGTTAAAGCAGTTACCTTCAAGGGAGAGGTTACTTGCGGTAAAGAAGCTCAGTAGTGAGATCTTTGGTGAGACATTCAATCCACAAAACATTAGAAATGGGTTGAAAGTATTGAGAAAGCCATTAGTAGGGCCTGAAGTTGCCTCGTACTATGGTAAGAATGATTCCATGCCTACGTTCAAGGATTTCAAAGCTTGGTTTCCTGAGTTGAAGTTGGTTGACCCCCGTGAAGAGACGAGGTTGAAGATGGTTGCTGACAGAAAGAAGAGAAATAAGGGAGCTCCTAAGAAGAAGTCATCGTAGAGAGGTGCCTGGCAAGGGACACAGTTAAGGAAGAGACAGGGAGACGGAGACAGGGCGACCTGTGGTATAGCACAGATGTAAATAGAAATATACTGGTTACAGAAAGATCTAAGGAGGGCTATAGTGCCATAGTGGGCGTAAGTATCTCTAAGTAATGTACATTTAGTGGTCTCCTGGTGGGGACCAAGCGCGATGCGAGGTATGGTACCAGGTTCGGCACCAAGTGCGGTACCAGATTTGGTACCATTTATGGACCCGGATTTCAAAGCCCGAGTACTATGGATTCAAAATCATAAACTAATCTATGGGTATCAGTGACCACCACTATGTCGTCACCTACCACCATATCAACGATCTTATCGGTGTGAATGACATCTATGGGTACAAAAGTACCATCGACGTAACGAATCACCGCTACCAGCTTTTCATTTTGTACTACCAAATACTCGTCTAACGTTACCACCAGTTTAATGTCCCAAACGGGAGGTTTGGTTCCTTGGACGTAGGTAGTGGTGTAGCCATCAAATTGCTGGTACCAGGACCTACCTTCCCACAGTTTAATGGTCACAGTACGAGTAATACGAAGGAGGTCTACTGATACGACGATGATTTCAAGGTCATGGTCGTAACCAGCACTGACCACCGACACCAAATCCTGGCCCCGATGGAGCATGGTGGTCATGTAGTACGATGAGTTACGGGTAGTGGGGGAGTCGTCCAGGGCTTCGTTAAGGTAGGTGAGGGAGAGGATTGGTTTAGATTGAGGTATGCCATTGGCACCATTAGTACTGTCAGACGAAGTATCAGTACCTCCAGAACCAATTCTAGCACCAGCACCAATACCACGGGTTTCAGTACTACTGCCACCGACCCCTAATACCGGAACCACCCTCAACTTAAACCCTCCCAAGATATCTGTCCCATTGAAATACACCATACATTTCCCCGATCTCGCCCACTCTAACACGAAGTTGGTCGAGAGTAATGGGTCGGGTAACGTCGTCTGGTGGAAGATAAAGCTTTGACTGCCGTCGTTGTACATCTGGTGTACCAAAGGGAACAAATCATCTGTCCCAGGAGGTCGCCAACTGGACACCACGGTCCAGAACCGTTCGTCAGGGCGATATATGGGCATTCTTGTGATCGGTTTATCGATGCACCACAAAGTGTGGGTACAGTCAAGGCTGTAAAGCTTAGCCTGGAGGTAGTTGGTGGTATATACGAGGAGTTGCTTGGAGTTGACGTAGGCGCCTTCATTGGTCTCAATGGGCAGGGTAGCCCCAGCACTGATCTCTGGAGAATCTGAACCACCAGTGGTGCTACCACCACCACCACCAACTGGCCGGATCCATTCGATTTCTTCAACTCCTTCCTCTTCATAAATAATCATAGGCTCATCGTACCGGAGATCAATCACCGCCACCATCGACTCCACCACCACGGCAAATTTTGTGCTATCTCCAGAGACAACATGTTCCCATTTAATACCTCCCGTAGGCAGTGAAGGTAATCGATAGGTCTTGGAATGGTCAGAATGGACTGTCACAGTGTTTCCCGTGATAGTCGCGGTGTAGACCCCACAAGGTGAATCCAGTGTTCCTCCTACCGCTCCTTTTGCCACACCTCCTAACACCCCTGACACACCTCCTGCTATTCGTGAACCTCCTACAGTTCCTCCCACGGTTCCTGACATCTTTCCTACCGCCAGATCAGGTGTTATCATTTCTGTTTGTGCGCACTAATGCGATTTGTGCGCACCCAAAAATAAACAAATGCCTAAACCAGCCTTAGGAACCATCCCTAAGATTCCTACGCCCACGGCGAAGTCCACGGGCAAGACCACTAGGAAGCCCACCAATAAGTCAACATCCAAGGCATCTACCATCAAGAGAACCAAGAAACCTTCCACAACCAAATCCAAACAATCTCGACTCCCGATCCCCAAAACCACCACCTTGGAAGGCATCTTCTCCCAATCCCAGCCCACAAAACGACTTTCCATGTTCGAAGAGGACGATGGGTTCATCTACAAGCGGTCCCAGGATATTCAGGACGTCCACGGAGTCAATGACAACCACGGAGTCCACGATACCCACCACCAAGGACCAACCAGGAAACTCAAAACCGTGTCTACGCCTATCTCCAACCTCAATAAGGCCTTAGATAGCCTCAGTTCCCCCAATTACGTGGAACACTTTGATTTTGATACGTCGACAAAGAAGGTGGGCAAGTTATCGTCCCCCATACGACCAAGGTACGACCAAAAGTATGATAGTTCGTCTGATGATTACATCGAACAGGTTTCCCACCACACCATCGACCTCATGGATGATACCTCCCATGCAAAGAAGCACAAACCTAACGACAGAAGGTCATCGTACTTGAATCGGGGCAAACGTCTTCTGTCTATTGGTAACGGCTTGGAAGGTGTCCCTCATGAAGATGTCCCATCACGTGACTTCTTCAAACTTCTCGATACGTCACTTCCTGAACCTCATAGAATGAAACAGCTTCTTGTTTGGTGCATTGATAGGAAGCTTAAGGCCACAGATAAGTCAGGCATGCGGTCGGCCATGTCCGATAACATTAATACCTACCAGGTAGCTGAAGTGATCAAAAAGGAGGTTCTTACAGACTTGAAGAATGGTGATATTAACACCAGCTGGTACAACAAATCACCAGAAGATTCCTCTCAGGGGATTCTTGGTACCAAGGAGATCTTACTTCCTAATCCTTTGAACCAAGCTACTCAAGATAACATCAAAAAGTTTAATAATGAAATCAGAGCTTTGAAAAGAGAGAAAGTTGAATGGCAGAAAGTGTTTGATCAACAAATAAAACCATTAAATGGGTTTGTGGATTTTAAATCTGGAATCCACAAAGATGAAATCCACAAAAATGAAAACCACAAAGAGAAATTTCTTTTGTACTTTAAACACAAAAACAAATTCGATCAATATAAACAAATTCTTGATGAGTCTTTGGTGAATGATTTAGAACGTACACAAAATGAAATCATTTCCAAATACCTGAATAAAGCTGAATCTTCTATCAATGAATTATTCAACTTGACTCACAAACTACTGAAAATGAATGAAATTGTGGATCATTATAAGAATAGAGTTCTTACACCAAAAATTGAAGAACTCTCCACCAGTTTCTTCAATAAGTCAAAGGTTGAATCCTCAGGTGAGGGTATATGGCCACCTCATAAGACTTTGGTATTGAAGGATATCCTTAATGGAATGGTTCGATTAGATGAACCACAGACATAAAAATAAATAGGAAAAAGTTTACAAACAGGAATAGGTTTACAAATAGGAAGAAGTCCACAAACAGAAATAAGTTTACAAACAGAAATAGGCTTACAAACAGGAATGAGTTTACAAACAGGAATAAGTTCACAAAGAGCAGTAAGTCCACAAACAGAAAAATATTTGACTTTGTAAACATTCCAAACTTTAACGTAAAGCATTGTTTTCGTGAACTTCAATATAATGAGTATCATGTTAATTGTTCAATCAGACTCTTAGAGTCAGTGTATATTTAGTGTAATAAATAAATTGTGTCAAAAGTACTCATAAAGCCGTTCTTACTCCACAAAAACTTGGTGCGCACAAAAGCAAACTATAAGGTTTGATTTCCTCAAATTATGGAGGTTTATGATAAGATAGAATGAAATTGGAAAGTTTAGGTATAAATACGAAGAAAATTCCAAGCATAAGAACAAGTTCTGTGGAACTAGAAACCCTTACAAGTAGCTTAGATTTAGAATCACAAACCACGAAATTAGAAACCACAAATACAAAGACCACAAATGCAAAAACCACAAATACAAATGCCACAAATAGAAATGTCACAAAACCAAAAGCCACAAAACTCCTTCGAATCAGCATGGCTACATTTATAATCGTAGTGTTGTTATTCTTCGTCAATACTTTACTAGCCTCGCCTGTTAAAAGATTAGACTCCGGTATTGCTACCACCTGGGATGAGATATCCCTGAACTACAAACAAGTTTTAGATTTAGTTAATAGCATTGAAAACAAGAGGATCTTTGGTCAATTGCTTTCGGCTGACCACGATTTCTACGATACTGGTGCTAACGTTGTGGGGACATCTCAACTACACCAACAGAATCAATACCAACATCAACCTTATGTTTCCAATGGATTCATTGGTAGCAGAATCCCCAATTTAGGTCAAGGATTCACCTATGATCAGCCAGTTGAAGGTGGTAAGCCGACTCACCTTCATCTGGGGTACCCAATCTTCAATTTAAGGTACGCGGGAGCGTTCGTAGCAGGGTTTTATGACTCAGAAGGAGAAAGTTACATTTCTGCTGTCCCCCAATGGACAACATTACAGTTATCTACCACTATTGATGGGAAAAATTACACTTTGGACCCCAGTTTGAATTCTTATGGCGAAATTTCCCATTATATTCAGACGATGTCTCTCAATAATGGAGTGGTGACCACCGAATTCGTATGGTTGAACACATTAAGGGTAAAATATGAAGTGATAGCTCATAGAAAGCACGTTAACCTTGGTGTAGTGAAGTTACTGGTGAATAATCTCAATGATACTGAGGTTTCTGTCATTGCTAGCGACATTTTATCTTTTGCTACAACTCAAAGGTGTGAATTCCTGGAGGTGGGTCACGATGATGACGGTATATTTATTAGTTTCCATCCCAGAGGAGCTAGAAACATCCATGGAACAATTTACTCAATTTTGTCCACAAATGCAAACTCAAAAACCACAAAAACCACAGATGCCACAAACGTAACTCAAGAAGTAACATTTAACTTAAACCCAGGCGATGCTATGACATTGGAAAAAATGGTAGGTATAGTTACCACCGATTTTGATCCAAAAAACTTGGTTTCAGGGTCTGATGTAATGGAATTTGCTAAGAAAACTGCCCTTGATCACACCCATGATGACCAAATTTTCACTAGTCACATCGATGCATGGGCCAGTACCCTAGAAGTAACACCCACCATAAGTTTTCCTGATGATCCGTTGTTAACCTTAGCTTCTAGAGCATCGCTTTTCCATTTAAGTTCCAATACTAGACCAGATGCCCAAGGACTCACTGCTGCTCTTGGAGTTGGTGGACTTTCGTCAGACTCTTACGCCGGTATGGTGTTCTGGGACACCGATTTATGGATGTTGAATGGGCTCTTACCCTTTGTACCCCATCATGCTAAAGCTCTTGTCAACTATAGACTTCATCTTCATGATCAAGCTAAGGCCAACCTTCCTTCAGGTTATCACGGGGCAGTCTACCCTTGGACTAGTGGGAGGTTTGGTAATTGTACGGGAACCGGTCCATGTATGAACTATGAGTACCACATCAACGTCGCCATAGCTCTAGCAGCGTGGCAAATCTTTTTAAGTGGTGGAGGTGATGAAAGTTATCTTTCAAATGTCGCGATGCCATTAATGTCGGATGCAGCTCAATTCTTCAGTGACTATGTTCAGTACAACCAGACCTCGGGTCAGTACACCACGTCAGATCTTACTGATCCTGATGAGTTTGCCAACCATATTGACAACGGGGCTTACACCAACGCAGGGATCGCTAAGCTCATGGAAAATGTCGTGGCTGCTGCCACCCATCTAGGTCAGGAGATCCCTTCAATATTCTCCAATATCTCCGACAACATGAACCTTCCGTCCACTAGAGACAATAATGCTTCCATCCAGGACATTGTATTGGAGTATACCGGCATGAATAACTCTGTGGCTGTCAAACAAGCAGATGTCATTATGATCACTTACCCATTAGACAATAAATTGATTAGTAACGAGCAAGCTGTCAACAATATGAACTACTACGCCATGAAGCAAGTTAGTTATGGACCTGCTATGACATTCCCGATCTTTTCCATCGTGTCGGCTACGCTTGCCGAATCGGGATGTGCTTCTCAATCGTATCTCCATAAAGCTGTTCAACCGTTCTTGAGAGCTCCATTTGCTCAGTTCTCGGAACAGAATAATGATGACTATGACACCAATGGTGGGTTTAATCCAGCGTTCCCATTCCTCACCGGTCATGGAGGATTCCTTCAATCAGTTCTTCAAGGATTAGTGGGTCTACGCTATGATTTCGATATCATTGATGGAAGGATCGAGAGATTATTAACCCTTGACCCTATCACCTTGCCGTTGTTTCCTCAAGGGGTGGAGTTTGGCGGTATTCATTACATGAATCAAACCATTAGTTTGAAGATTGACGATAAGTTGACAGTTCACCATCAAGGACCCACCAATAGCAACCCAGCTTTTGCCACCAACATCACTATCCAGCTAGGTTCCCGTAACCCCAAGGCTGGTACCTATACCTTAACACCAGGCTCCAGGTTGGAATTTCCGTTATTTGAGGTGGGTGCGGCTGACAATTCCATGGTCCAATGCGGTAACGCCGCATTCTTCAACATCACCGATGGAGTTAATGGAGATAGTACTTTCCTGATCAATGACGGTGATAACTTCACCCACTGGCAGTCTGCTACCAACGGTACTACCAAGGTGCTTGTGGATTTGAAACTGATGAAAACCATCACTGGGGGTGGCATCAACTGGGGAGATTCTCCTCCTGAACGGTGGTCCTTATCACTGTACCATGGAGATGCCCAGGATCCACAGGAAATTTTGGCTTCGGTGGATTTCGGTAATGATCTAACGTCTAAGCTCTGGTACTACCGTAAGGGAGACGTGGTGGACCAAGAACTGGTATTTCTGAAAGTGTTGAAAGAGGAAGTGACACCATCAGCTCCATGGATCGATGCCGTGGTGATACCGGAAGTATTTAATACCACGACGTTCTCGAAGGAGGTCAAGTCGAGGTTCTTGTTGTTGGAGTACGAGGGGGGTGAAGGAGGTAAGTTACACGAGGTAGAGTTCTGGTAGGGCAAAAAGTTCATGGTGATTCATATCAAGTCACATCCGTTCACGGTGATTCAAGCAACTTCAGAGAGATTCAGAATAGCTAGTAAGCCAAATAGATAGTATGGTAGCTGGTCTAATAAGTCAATGTATATTTACTTACTCTGAAAGAGCTTCGTCCATTTGCACAAGACGTTTAACACCGGTGTGCCAGTTACCCACTTCTTCAGGGAAGGTGGAAGCAAACCCAATGATGGATGTCTTGGCCGATTCATAATCTTTTCTGTCTAAAGTCTCAGCGACTTCCTTCAAATATGCCACCGCTTCTGATGATAACAAGTCACCATTATTCAAATGGTCATAAAGCATGTTTAATCTTCTTTCCATATCATCACCATGTTTCTTGTAATCGTCGGGGATTCTTGGCTTAAGGAATTCTACTCTGGCATTGAAGATTTCGTAGATAGGAAGGGCTTCTGGTGAAATATGAGATCTATCACCTGATGGATATGATTGAGGTTGGGAGGCTCCGTTGGAAGAAGTGGTGGTTGGAGGGGCAACCGTATTGGAAGGAGGACCTGATTTACCTGGTCCCATTGGTGGTGGACCAACAGATGGGCCAAGAGGTGGAGGACCAACGGTTGAACCTACAGAAGTAGATCTAGGTGGTGGCCCAGTAACACTCTTTGGTGGGGGAACAATACCTCCACTTGGAACTCTTGTATGACCATTACTTGGAGCATAAGGGTTGGCAGCTGGTGGAGCAGCATAAGGGTTTGCTGGAGGAGTTGGAGCAGCATATGGATTAGCTGGAGGAGCAGCATAAGGATTAGCTGGTGGTGTTGGGGCTCCAAAAGAACTAGTAGGAGTAAAAGCATTTGTAGGAGGAGCTACAAAAGCTTGACCAGGTCTTGGTGATACAACCGAACTCTTTGGAGCATATGGATTCCCTGGAGTACCTGGAGTACCAGATGTTTGTGGAGCATAAGGATTAGATACTTGAGCATTAGGTGGACGTGGTGATACTAAATTAGCCAGAGATGGGGCTCTGGAAGGACCTTTAGGAGGACCTGAAGGAATTGAAACCGAAGAAGGTGGGGAAACCAATGAAGGTCTTGAAGGACCTGGAGTATGAGATGGTGACACAGTAGACGCAGCAGCAGCACGACGAGGAGCAGCTTTTGGTTTAAAAGTATCGGGTAAATCATTCCAACCATCAGTTTCTTGCTTGTAAGGTTTTGAAACTGGTGGAGGGGTAGCTACAGGAGCCGAGGTTTGTTTCATATAAGGATTGGATGGAGTATATGGATTAGATGGGTTGGAGGGTTTCATGTAAGGGTTGGAAGTGGAAGGTTTCATGTAAGGGTTGGATGCAACATTACCTGATGGAGTTGGTACGGGTGAGATTCCTGGAGGTTGGATTCCTTGTCCTGGAATTGAAGGCCCTGGGATTGAAGTAGCTGGGATCGAAGGACCTGAGATTGAAGGACCTGAGATTGATGGAGGACCAGATTTAAAAGAAGCACCTGGTGTTGGTCTATTGACAGCAACATTAGGTCTAAAACTTGTACCAGTTGGTCTACTTGAACCATTGGCACCAGGTATAGGTCTAACTTGATTTGAGCTCTTAGTAACCGGAGTAACTGGAGCCAAAGCCTTGGAAATACGTTCTCTTTCACCACCAGACCCATAATCTGATGGTAAGAACCCTAAGAATTTTTCTGCCAATTCAAATTGTCCGAAACTTGAAAGTAACGTGACATATTCAAGGATAACTTTACAAACAGGTTCAACTGAAGGACCCGATAAAGCACCCGATGAATGAGTTAACGTTCTATAAGCTACCAATTTAGTAGCAAAGTTATTTAAAGCTTCGAATCGGGCATCGGAAGGAGATTTAACCGAAGTGCCGGGGTTTTGTAATAATTTGGCTTCCAAATCAGGTAATTCTTTCAACCAAATACTGGAGATTTTATCCATAGCTCCACCAGCTAAATAACAAGCAATAGCATCATCTCTAGAACCAGATTTTAATACTCTATCACCCAATTCATTGACTTTATCATTGAAATCAGTATCATCCTTAGCAAAAGATTCAATGGCTGTAGCAATAAACTTCCAATCTTTAACATCAGCATGACTAAGGATATCAGTAGAATCCTTAATGGAAGCACTATAAAGAACTCTTGATAATTGTGATGATTCTTTGGAGAAATAAGCATTCTTAACTTTGGTTTTAACATCATCTGAAGCATCTAAGGCAAGAATTAAAGCTTCAGTGAGATTATTAGTAGCAAGACATTGATTAACAGCTTGTTCAAGCTTATTGGTAAGAATAAGTTTAGTGAGTTTTGTGTCACCTGATGAAGGGAAAAGTTCAAAATCTCCTGAAGGGACAAAAGCTGAAGGAGTGGTGAGATTATCAAAGAAATCTCCATCATCTTTAACCACATCTTCAACCACGGTTTCTGGTTCCTTAACTTCAGTAACTTCCTTGAAGATATCCTTCTTACCCCCATCAGATAATTTCTTTAACATTTCCCAATCGGCTTTATCGGTATCATTAATAGAATGGTTTAAATTATCATCAATGATTTGATTAAATTGTCCTTTTTTCAAAGCTTCGGCGATTTTTTCCGTTCCTTCAGCTCCACCAACGATTTTTTTAACTTCAACGGATGATTTCCCATCTTTTGTCACTACGGTAACTAATTTCCCAAAGCCAAAGGATACATTACTAGGACGTTTTAACCATAAAGGAGGTTGTTTAACATCAAAAATCGGTTGTTGAGTATCAGTGGTTGAAATTTCATTCCAAAAATCATCATCATTGGTAGTAACTTTGGTAGTAACTGGAGGGGAAGTATCTTGTAAAGATTGAACGATGATTTTCCCATCAAATGAAGCGGTAGCGAAAATATCTGGAGCTGAAGGAGCAAATTTGGTTAAAAATGCCCAATTAGCAGTAGTAGGATATTCTCCTAACTTAACACCTTCAATAGGATTCCATAATAAAGTACTATTATCTTTACCACTAGAAATCAATAACTCAGGATCTTGTTTACACCAATCTAATGATAAAACTCCCTTCTTATGACCTTTCATGATCTTCTCTGGGGCATTGGCATTCCTTAAATCCCACGTAAGAATCAATGGACATCCATCGTTATCACTAGCAGTAATTAATTTAGTTGATTGAGTTGGGTGCCATGCAACAAAGGAAAAGTTGGCTCTACCTAAATCTCCATTATAAGATAAATGTAATACTTCACGTTTAGATTTTAAGTCCCAAATGGAAGTATAGCCTCCACTAGTACTGGCCATAATATGTCCAACAGCATTATTCCAAGCCACGCTAGTAATTTCATCCATTGGTGTCATAGCTTGACCAGGAACAGAACAATCAAATGTCTTAGTATCCCAAATAAAGATTTCACCTTTTGAACCTCCAGAAACAAGGATATGAGGTTGCTTGGGGTTGAAAGCTAATGATTTAACTGCTGCTGAATGTTTGGTGGAAGTAAAAATTGAAGCTTTGGCTAAATCTTTGGTAGAAATCAATGTTTCTACGTTCCAAATTTCAATGGTACCATTTTCAAAAGCTCCGGCCAAAATACCACGATTATAGGAATCAAAAGGTTGAGACCACGCTAAAGCATGAAATCTATGGTCAACCACAGCAGAAAATACTGGGGCTGATGGGTTGGTGGGGGAGAAAATATCATATAATTCAAGGGTGGAGGAGGAATTAAAGTCTATGTCCACCGCACCTGCCACGGTACCGGTAGCCAAGATGGGTAAACAATCATGGGACCAGGCAAAAGTGGAGGTGGAAAGGATTTCTTCGATTTTCATATTACGATTAACACCAGTGTGTTTGTTCTGGTGTACTGTACGTGTGTTTGTACTTTCTGTGTTTGTACTATCTGTGTACTGGTACTTTCTGTGTACTGCTAGTAGGAAAGATCTAGTTCTGTGCTAGTTCTATCCTTTAGTCCTGTCCTTTACTGATTCTATCTGACAGACAAGGTATTCCTTACTTTGATCTAACCGTAGGAGGCTAACTTTAAACACTAAAAATGCAAATTTCAATGATCCAACAAGTGCAAGGTAATGCTAAGTGTTAGGTCTATGGGATTGAAGTGTTTGACTACTTTGTGATGAGTTTTTTTATCGAAGTTTATTCAACTGTCGACAGTTTTAAAGATCACAAATGTTTGATTTTTCGACCACCTCAAAAATTTCGACGATTTAGCAAATAGTCACGTGAAAAACACGAGACTTTTATTTGTTGTTGACGGTGACATGCACGTGAAATAAGCCGCGAATTCTCGTGCATATCACGTGAACCTCATCCGACGCTTTAACTTACCGTTTTAACTTATACCGAGCTAAAAATCCATCTTACCATTCGTTTACCTTCCAAATTGATTAATTTCTTCCAATGAATATCCCACCATTAACTCATAGGAATAATAAAACAGTCATCAAGTTCCTCCTTAAGTTCACGTCCCAAAAAGTCGTCAGACCATCATTAAAAGCGTTTTTATTTGCTTATTTATATATAACGGTACCTAAAATTATCAATAATGTAATGATCTCGGTGAAAAATCGGGACTATAAGCAATTGATTCATCGTACAATGAAAATAATCACCAAGGCGTTCCATCCTATGAAATTCCCGATGTTTTCTGCTAGTTTAATAGCTATAATCAATGTTTTAGAGCCTTTAATAGCCCGTTTTTTACAAGGAAAGAAAGGTTTCAATAATCCTTTGAAAACTCTTTTCTTATCAACCTTCATATCATCGTTTATTGCTGCTTGTACGGCATTTCCAGGGTTTCAAAAACATATTTTAAGTTATGGTAGATTTACCTCCCTTGATTTGACCCTTTTGATGTTTAGTCGAGCCTTGGATACAACTTTATCATCAACTTTAAGTACTGTGCTACCATCAATGCTTCAACCTTTCGGAGATGCCCTTTTGTTTATCACTTCTTGTTCTTTCATCATGTACTGTTGGTTTTTCCATCCTTCTCGTTTACCTCCAGCTTATAGGAAATGGATTACATCTGCTGCTAATATGGATGAAGAGATTGTTCTGTTATTAAGAAATTTACATTTTGGTGATGATAAATATGGTCAAAAGTCAAATACTTTAACTACTTATTGTCACCGTTATGATAAAAATCCTCAAGTTGGTGACCTAGTGACTGTTCAACCGGTTCCTTGTGAAGTGGTTCATGCTTTTCAAACCACCAATTGTGAACTTCATGCTTTATGGAGATTCAAAAGAGGGTTCGAATTCGCGTTTAGATTATATGGAGGCATAAATCTTGTAATGTTACTTGTACCTAAGAAGATTCCTATGATTTTAAGACTTAGGAAAGCCATTATACTGACGGTGAGATCATCGAGTTTCTTAGGAGGATATATCGCACTTTATTGGTACGCTGTGTGCTTAGCAAGGAAACGTCTTTTACCTAAGATGTTTCCTGAAGTTCCTAACACCCGTTGGGATAGTACTATAGCTCCAACAGCTGGTGCGATTGCATGTGGATTCAGTGGATTTATCGAGACAGCTCAACGTCGTAAAGAATTGGCCCTATTTGTGTTACCTCGAGCTATAGGGACATTAGTTCCTACAGAGTTATCAGAGACGAATATCTTAATTGAAAGATTAGTATTTGCATTGAGTATGGCGACATTGATGGCTTATTGTAAGAGGGATCCCGGGAAAGTAAGGGGAATTTTCGGTAAAGGATTAAAGGCAGTGATGAGTATTTGATTGTATATAGAGACTTAGATTGCAGCGATACTAAATAGACGCAGACTATTGTAGATTCACTGGGAAGACAATACTAGAAATCTGAAATAAATATTCTGAAACATACATTCTGAAACATACATTCTGAAACATAAATTCTGAAACATAAATTCTGAAACATGTTTTCTGAAACAAACTCAAAATGAAACAAACTCAAAATGAAACAAATTCAGAAATTACCTAAATGGGATGATTACTGAAACAAATTCATAAAATTCCCTGAAAAGGGTTGTAAAGGAAAATTTCGAAACAAAATCAAAGTCCATTTCGAGGTAGTCAGCATACTGTGTAATCAAATTAATCTACCAAACATCATTGGGTTCACCAATCACTTTCTTGGTTCGAATCTTCGGAGAACGCACTCTGGGGGGTCTCACTATCATCATACACAGTCTTGGGAGACTCTTCGTCTGCTGTGTCAGAAAGCTCTTCGTCCCAATCTTTCAAGGTAGCCTCAGAGAAGTCAATGAGATGAAACTCCCCACCTGAAACAATGATATTTCTCCAGAAAATAGCGTTGTGTTCGATTCCCAAGGATCTCAAAAGTTCAACTTGGTGCTTTGCTTC